TACGGGAAGAGGGAAATCCCCAAAAAAAAAAATTTTTTCCCCTTTTGGGGGGGGGGGGGGGGGGGGGTACTCATAGTCGTGCATGCCGTAGTCGTTAGACCATTGACCTCGCATCCCTACAAAGCCGGGACGGAGCACGCCGGGTTCTCGCCGGACCAGGCTCTCACATCACCAAGCGCGAAGCGCCGTGAGGTATTTGGCGAGTCGCATGAAGGGTGAGCTGCATCCTGCTAAGGGTGTTCGGCATCTTGTGCTTACTTCCTTGCGTACGGATGACAGCTACGTATGACTTAATTTATTTTCTGGTGCTTTCACTTCCAGAGACAGTTGTAAGCATTGTGTAACTGCCTCGAGGAAAGCTTGACCATTTTAACACAACGTGGTGCGATCATCCCCCGTTGCGCGGAGTGAGGGTTCTCGAGCCCGCACAACATGATCTACTCGACCACCATTATGGTTCCGAAAAAAAAAAAACGAGGAAAAAAAAAAAACGGTAGCCTGGTTCCCGAGTTCACAAAGTGAATTGGCTTGTTTTACTACGTCGTTGCCAAGCGACAAAAACCCAATCCCGATGGCAAACACCGAGGGGGGGGGGCGGGGCGTCGGGTAAGTGTGCGGGAAGATTTTTTTTGTGCGCCCTTGTCTACACCCCCATTGGTTGGCCTCAACATCAACCGCCCTATCCACCAACACAACTCATCTCGAGTCCCAACCTGATATATATGTTACATCAGCAGTAGCGAGGGCAGCATGGGGCGATGGCGTGCGGGCTGGAACGCTCAGAATCTGTTGTGGAGGCTGTGCTGCCGCCGCAGGTTGCGGCTTGCTGCAGCGGCAGAAACACAGCTGGTTCGGCGCCAACCGTTTGAACTTGAAATAAGCTCAGTATCCAGTAGGCTCTCTCCCCCTCTTATTGCAAAGAGTTTTAACACACCCCCTTCGACTGCTGCTGTGGTATGCTATGCGTTTTTCTCGAACGAGTACAGCAGTAGTCTACAGCAGTAGTCTACAGCAGTAGTCTACAGCAGTCAGTCGTTGACACAGCGATGTGTTCGTCCAGCAGTAGTTTCCAAGAAGGAAATTACCGCTGATCCAAACACCTTCTCAGCGCCAACCGCTTGAACTGTGAGTTCACCGCGATGGTTTACAGCGGCAGTTCACACTGTGAGGCCTCTTTTTTTGACGCACTTGACGGGATTGGGGTTCGTGGCAGATGCAGCCGGGACGAGCGCAGAGTTTTTGAATCCAACCACGGCTGTAGACATTCGGTACATTTCAAGCAGTAGACATGTAGTCTAGACAACTCTGTACACAGCAACACAGCAGCAGTTACCCATCGCATTGTTCCTGGTTTGATCATGACCAAACGAGCTGCTTGGCAGCAACAACCCAAGACATAAAACTTCCATTCGTTTACCCTTGTTGTTTGTCGTCTCTGTTCGTCCTTTCCTCCTGGCCGCCGCTGCCCCCGCTGCCACGGGCGAACGATACACAACCCCCCCCCAAAATAACAGGTGGACCAGAAGTTCAACAAAATGGTTTTAGACAGCATTCAGGGATCGCTTCCCGTCCGAGTGGGGAGCATGAACATGTGCTACCCGCCGTCCTTCTTCCGGTGGATCTGGATGGTCATCAGCACATTCCTGCACGAGTGAGCATGACAACCGCATTTTCTTCTTTTTGATTTGTCTGTCTTGCTTGGGTGTGGTACTTTTTTTTGTAACACCCTTTTTTCGCTTGGCCGTGGTACTTTTTGATTGATTGGCGCTTTCCTTTTTTCGTCGCTTTTTTGCTTGAGATGTAGATATGGCAGAGAAGAGAAGGGACGACATGTGTCGAGACGGAGTGCTCAGGAATGCTCCCCAGAAAACAAGACTCAGTTTCAAGGCCTTTCCTCTGTGGGGCGCGGAAAACCTGTGTTTCGCTGTGGGCCGAACTATCCAAGTCTATCAGGAAAAAACGCACGTCTTCCCTGGCATTGCCCAAGTCGAGACTTGGGGGGTTGTGTATCATCTCCGGCGGCGCTCAATTGCCTCAAAACGTTGGCTGTTTTAGAGCCAAGCTTACGTCTTAATTTCCCGTTTAGAGCCAAGGCGAGGTCTTTATTTTTTCGAGGGACGTCCTGTAAGCAGCCGCTAACTGGCCCGGGCTCTTTACCGGCGTTTGTGAAAATAGCCGTCGGTTGTCACACCGGTTGGATCGCCCCCCTGCCAACACATTCAGCAACAACGGGCGTTTCTGCTCGGAGCTCAGCAGGCTGGTTCGGCACGTGAAGATAGCTTGTGCAATACCATACCCTTGCGTCGTTCTTACTTGCCATGAGCATGGAGCACCGCCCTCACCACCACAGTAACATCGAGCGATACATTGCTCCCGCCGACGGTTCACCGGTCCTATCGGGAAAATGCTCCGTCCTGTCGAGGACGCGCGGTCATTAGCCCAACAACTAAGGACTGCGAAACATGAGCCCACCCACCCCACCCCCCCAGCGGCTCTCCTCGAACTAACCCTCCTCTTCGTGTGTGTTGCTGTTGTTTTTTCCTCCTCGCAGGAGGGTAAGGGCGCGGTTTCGATTCATATACGGGGAGGATGAGGACGTCCTCGAGGCGCTCACAGGTACCGTTGCCCCGGAAAACTTGCCGCCTCCCATAGGCCGGAAACCCCTAGATTTCCAAGGGTGGCTGGCGGAGCGCCAGAAAGCGGAGGTGTGACCCTGCGTGGATGGGCCTCTCACTTGCTGTTGCATATGGTTGTCCTATGATTTGCCTCCGGAATATTTGGTTGACCCGGGTATCCTGTGGGGTTCTAGGTTATTCTCGTAGTATTTTTAGTTCCCTCGGTTTTTGGTAGCGTAGCGTGGTCGCCAGAATAGTAATGGACCTGACTCTTACGAAGAGCCTGACATTACGCGATTCCCTTGTAAAGCACAACTAGAATTGAGAGAGAACGCGGAAGTTTGCCTTGACTTCAAGCTTCCAAGGTTGCCGTCAAATCAGGTAGTTGTTTTTAAAGAGTGGACACCCTTGGGGGGGGGGGGGGGGGGGG